GCTGAGCACATGTGTACCCCACGACCCAGCAATTCCACTCCTAGGAATGTGCCCAACAGAAATGTGATCATACATTTGCCGAAAGACGGACGAGAACATTCACAGCAAGAGTATTATTGGCACTGATAAGTAGTATGTGGTACATTAAATTAGAAAGCAGCGAAGGTGAATAAGGACAACATGAATGAATTCACAAAAATAATACTGAGCAAAGGAAGTTAATGCAAAGGTACAAACCACTTAATTTTATTTATAGAAACAGCCATAACCTGGGGCGCCTGGGTGGCTTAGTTGGTTAAGCGTCCGACTTTCGCTTAGGTCATGATCTCGCGGTTCGTGGGTTCGAGCCCCGCGTCGGGCTCTGTGCTGACTGCCAGCTCAGAGCCTGGAGCCTATTTCAGAGTCTGTGTCTCCCTCTCTCTCTGACCCTCCCCTGCTCACGCTGTCTCTCTCTCTCTCTCTCTCCTAGAAATAAATAAAGATATTAAAAAAAAAAAACAAAAAAAACAGCCAAAACCAATCTACGGTGAATATACCTAAAACCATGGACTTCTACATTTTAAAGTTTATTTATTGATTTTTGAGAGAGAGAGACAGAGACAGAGAGTGAGAGTGGGTATGTGTGCAACTGGGGAGGGGCGGGGGGGGGTCCCAAGAAGGCCTCACGGATCCTGTCAGATCCTGACTTGGGGCTTGGGGCTCAATCCTACAAAAAGTGAGCCAAAATCAAGAATCAGACAGTTTGGGGCGCCTGGGTGGCTCAGTTGGTTAAGCATCCGACTTCGGCTCAGGTCATGATCTCGCGGTTCGTGGGTTTGAGCCCCACGTTGGGCTCTATGCTGACAGCTAGTTCAGAGCCTGGAACCTGCTTCGGATTCTGTGTCTCCCTTTCTCTCTGACCCTCCCCTGCTCATGCTGTCTCTCTCTCTTTCTCAAAAATAAATAAAATTAAATAAAAAAAAAAGAATCAGACAGTTAACCAACTGAGCAACCCAGGCACCCAGCTTATATACTTTAAATGGGTGAATTGTATGATGTATGAATTATATCTCAATTAAGCTGTATTTTATTTTAGTTTCTATGATCTTTTTTAAAAATTTTATTTATTTTCAATTTATATCCAAGTTAATTAACATATAGTGTAATAATTATTTCAGAACTAGAATTTAGTGATTCATTACTTACATATAATACCCAGTGCTCATCCCAACAAGTGTCCCTTGCCTATTTAGCCCATCCCTCCACCAACACCCCTCCAGCAACCCTCAGTTTGTTCTCTGTATTTAAAAATCTCTTATGATTAGTTTCTTTCTATTTTTATCTTATTTTTGCTTCCCTTCCCTTATGTTCATCTGTTTTGTATCTTAAATTCCACATATGAGTGAAGTCACAGAATAGGTCTTTTTCTGACAAATTTCACTTAGCATAATACCCTCTAGTTCCATCCACATAGTTGCAAATGGCAAGATTTCATTCTTTTTGATTGCCAAGTAATACTCCATTGTATATATAAATATACCACACCTTCTTTATTCATTTGACCGTCAATGGAGATTTGGGCTCTTTCCATATTTTGCCTATTGTTAACAGTGCTGCTGTAAACATTGGGGTGCATGTGCCCCTTCGAAACAGCACTCCTGCATCCTTTGGATAAATACCTGGGAGTGCAATTGCTGGGTCATAGGGCAGTTTTATTTTTAATTTTTTAAGGAACCTCAAATCTGTTTTCCAGAGTGGCTGCACCAGTTTGCATTCCTACTAGCAGTGCAAAAGTGTTCCTCTTTCTCCACATCCTCACCAATAACTGTTGTTGCCTGGGTTGTTAATGTTAGCCATTCTGACAGGTGTGAGGTGGCATCTCATCGTGGTTTTGATTTGTATTTTCCTGATGATGAGTGATGTTGGGCATTTTTTTCATGTGTCTGCTAGCCATCTATCTGGTTGTCTTCTTTGGAACAGTGTCTATTCATGTCTTTTGCCCATTTCTTCACTAGATTATTTGTTTTTTGGGTGTTGTGTTTGGTAAGTTCTTTATAGATTTTGGATACTAACACTTTATCTGCTAGGTCATTTGCAAATATCTTCTCCCATTCTGTCAGTTGCCTTTTAGTTTTGCCGATTATTTCCCTCACTGTGCAAAAGCTTTTTATCTTGATGAGGTCCCAATAGTTCATTTTTGCTTTTGTTTCCCTTACCTCCAGAGATGTGTCACGTAAGAGGTTGCTGCGGCCAAGGTCAAAGAAGTTGTTGCCTGTTTTCTCCTCTAAGATTTTGATAGCTTCCTGTCTTACATTTAGGTCTTTCATCCATTTTGAGTTTATTTTTATGTATGGTGTAAGAAGGGAGTCCAGGCTCATTCTTTTGCGTGTCATTGTCCAGTTTTCCCAACACCATTTGCTAAAGAGACTGTCTTTATTCCATTGGATATTCTTTCCTGCTTTGTCAAAGATTGATTGGTCATGTTTGTGGGTCCATTTCTGGGTTCTCCATTCTGTTCCATTGATCTGAATGTCTGTTCTTGTGCCAGTACCATGCTGTCTTGATGATTACAGCTTTGTGATACAGCTTGAAGTCCAGAACTATGATACCTCCAGCTTTGGTGTTCTCTTTCAGGATTGCTTTATTATTCGGGATCTTTTCTGATTCCATACAAATTTTAGGACTGTTTGTTTTAGCTCTGTGAAGAATGCTGGTGTTACTTTGATAGGCATTGCTAAGCTTTTTTTTTTTTTTTTAAACAATAGTATTGGAAGTCAGGGTAGTGGTTAGCCTTGGTAAGAAGTAGTTATTGGGAGGGGGCACAAGGAAGGGCATTTTGGCACTGGCAATGTCTGGTTTCTCGAGTTGGGTGCTGATTACAAGGGTGTGTTCAGTTGTGACAATTCTGTATACTTACAATTTGCGTACTTCTCCGTACATGTGCTCTGCTTCAAAAAAAAAAAAAAAAAAAAAAATACAATGACCATAAACCAAACAGGCCTGACCTGGCTCCTGTACTTGGGGATGGCAAACTGATATCCTCACTCCCTTCAAAAAGGTCCTGCCACTAGTGTACCCTGGAAAATGCCCCTTCAAAAGTTTATGGGGCTGGGGCTCCCCATTTCATCAGTGAGGCATTACTCACAGGCCCTGGGGGAGTTTCTCAGAAGAGAAAGTAGGGAGGGTCTGCCTACTGCCTCTCTTCTCTGGGCTCTGCTAGAGTAGGCAGATTTGGCCCTAGATTCTAGAGTATTAGTCCTGAGCCCATTCTTGCCTTAGAACTGGCTGGGCCATGGCTACTGTGACCCCTCACAGCTCAGCCATCCAGGAGTCTGGTCTGCTACTCCTGGATCGGGATGGGAACCTATCTTCAGGGAGATCTTAAAGGCCAACAGCCTGAGGTGGGCCATTCCATAGAACTGTGACCCCAAGCCCAGCCTCTGCCTACCCCAGCCAGGGTCCTCAGAGGTGGGTTTGCAGAGCCCTTCATCAGTCACTGCTTAGAAGGAGCACCTGAACCCCCAGGAAAATGGATCCTAAGGGGAGATACCGAAGCCTGGGTGAAGGGCTCCCTGACAAGTACCAGGAGAGCAGAGGCGGCATTTTAGGGTGGGGGGTCATGGGGATTTGAGGCTGTGGGCCAAAGTAAGCCAGAGGACTGACTACAGCCCCTGGACTGGTAGCTGATAGATCCCTTTTGCCTAGAGAGGGGTAGAGGCCAAGTCCTCTGTAAGTCAGACAGTATAAGGGGCTGCCTCCAGGGTCAGGGACTTGTGGTCCTTGAAACTGATTTAATACTGCATTTTAAAAAACCTTCAGGGGCACCTGGGAGGCTCAGTCAGTTGAGTGTCCAACTCTTGATTTTGGCTCAGATCATGATCTCATCATGGTTCATGAGTTTGAGCCCCACATTGTGCCTTGCGCCGACAACACAGAGCCTGCTTGAAATTCTGTCTCCCTCTCTCTCTGCTCCTCCCTTGCTCTCTCTCACTCTCTCTCAAAAATAAATAAATAAACATTTTTTTAAAAAGGTAAAAAAATCTTCATAAGTTCATACATACTTTGATGTATAGCTGGGTACAGAGACCCACATGGATAAGCACTGCTCACTTATTCAGTCAACAAACATTTACTGGGTAGTTATTCTGGTTTCTGGTCAGTGCCAGGATCTGGGAAAGCAGACGAATATTGTCAAGGCCTTGAGGAGCCCATAGGCTGGTGTTCAGGGAGCGGCCAGCATGTGACAGTTAATTACAATGCAGAGGAATGACAGCAATAACAGAGGTTCTGGAGCACAGAAAGATAAAAGAACCCACACGTGACCTTTTTTGCAAAATGTAATTTCCTCCTAATTTTCCTCCAGAAAATTCAGGTTTTCGTATTTTGCATTCAGGAACACACCGCAGCTCTGGCCCAGCTCAATCGCTGTAAATATTGTCCATGGCAACTCCCTCTAAAAGAGGCCCCACTACCAGATTTCTTTTCCAGCTGATTTTAAAAATAATGAACAAGCTAGGAGAGATAAGACAAGACAGCTAGCTATGTCTGTTTCATAATTACCACCATTCAAATCATCTAGAAGATACATATTTATTTTTCACAATCTTTGGGGAATTAATTTAGCTGATAATCCGTAAAGGCCTCCATCAGATCAATACCACACTCCCTGTCACATACATGCATAGCAACAAACACCAGCTATAATTCTCTTCTTCTCCTAGGTCTGCATTACATGACATAACAATATAAAAATAAAAATCAGTTCCCGGCCTTGGTATCTACGGGTAAGTGATGTGATCAGTAAGACAGGCCTACATACCTCCTTTTCGGTAGTCATGGAGATCTATGACACCTAGCCTGGAATTTCCTATGTCAGCTGCCACAGTGGCCCCTTGAGAGCACCCATCTCCTTTTAGCAATACAGCAGGGGATGTATCCTGTTCACGTGGGTCTAGTCTGGAGAAACCCCACAAACAGAAGAAACCGAAAGGGAAGACACCTTCAGCAAACAGGAGCATTACCTTGGTCCCGTGGTAGAAGTCGTCCACGCATGTAGCGTTCATGAAGGTCTGATGGAAGTGGGTGCTGGTGTCAATGCCTCCAGGAATCACCAACTTCCCAGTGGCATCGATCACCTTGGCCCCTCCGGGGATCATGAGCTCACGGCCCACCTGCTGGATGATGCCATTCTCAATGTAGACATCAGCCTCGTGGGTGCAGTCATCGTTCACCACCTTGCCTCCCTTGATGAGAATCCTCACGCTGCCTGAATTGGCAAGCATGTTCCTATGGAGGGTGAAAGGGAGGCACCGGTCAAGGTCAAAGTCCCTTTTCACTATAACCAAGGTCCCACTTCTTCCGATCAGAGTCCAAACTCCATGGGCAGAGTAAGTGAGCAGGGAAGGGGAGGAAGTTTCTCCAAAGCCTGAGAACACTGGTCCTACAACCAGCTGGGGTCACAAGCCTCCCACTGAGTGGGACTTATTGGGAATCATGACACAGTGGAGTAGGGTGAATCTGGGGCCCAAAGAAACATCAATGTCTACCTTCCCCAAATGACATGTAGATTCTAAACCATTTTCCTATCTACTGTGTTTTTAATCCCAAAACAACCTGAGGAGTGGCATTTTACCAATGAGAAAGCTGAAACTGCTCAGTGAGGAATTTATGACTTCTAAGTAGCCAAGTCAAACCCGTATGTCTTGTATGACAAATGTCCCCACTATACCATATGGTCCCAAAGGTGTCAGGGGCTCCTGGGGCGTGTCTCACAGGGCCAAATTCTTGAAGCCTCACAGTTGCTGGATTCATATCATTCATTCTTCAGATGGATTTTGCTTCAGCTCACTCTCCCATGTCTGCCTCAAGGCCACTACCACATTTCAGCTCCATAGCTGGCGACACATGAATAAACTCATCGGCAGAGCTTTTGAAAAGCACCTTCACTAAAGCTCCAACCCCAGAGATTCAGCTTTATTTGGTCCAGACAGGGACTCCCAGAAGCATTATTTAAACAAATTTGGGGTGGGGGCATTTGGGTGGCTCACTTGGTTACATATCCGACTCTTGGTTTTGGCTTAGGTCATGATCTCACGATTCACAAGTTTGGGCCCCTGCTTGGGATTCTCTCTCTCTGCCCCTCCCCTGCTCTCCTCTCTCTCTCTCAAAATAAATAAATAAACTTATAAAAAAATTTTAGGGGCACCTGGGTGGCTCAGTTGGTTAAGCGTCTGACTTTGCTTCAGGTCATGATCTCATGGTTTGTGGGTTTGGCTGCACGCTGGGCCCTCTGCAGTCAGCACAGGACTGGCTTCAGATCCTCTGTCCCCCTCTCTGCCCCTCTCCTGCTCAAGCTAACTCTGTCTCTCTCAAAATGTTTATTTATTTATTTTGAGAGCAAGCACGAGAGAGCAAGCAGGGGAGGGGCAGAGAAAGAGAGAGTCCCAAGCAGGCTCTGCACTGTCAATGTAGAGCCAAATGTGGGGCTTGAAATCACGAACCCTGAGATCATGATCTGAGCCAAAACGAAGAGTCAAATGCTTAACTGACTGAGCCACCCAGGCACACATGAAACCACTATTTTTAAAAGCTAGAGAATTTTACCATATGCTTGAAGAAGAATTAATGCTAATCTCTCCCAGAAAACAAAAGGAAATGTTCCCACCTCATTTTATGGAACCAGTATTATTCTGATACCAAAGCCAGACAAAGACAGTGCCAAAAAAAGAGAACTATAGAATAATATCCCTCATGAATACAGATAAAAAAAGTTCATAACAAGGGACGCCTGGGTGGCTCAGTCAGTTGAGCATCAGACTTTGGCTCAGGTCATGATCTTGTGGTTCATGAGTTAGAGCCCTGCATTGGGCTGTCAGTTCTGAGCCTGCTTCAGATCCTCTGTCCTCTTCTCACTACCCCTCCCCCCCTCAAAAAATTAAAAGGAAAAAAGTCCTGAACAAAATAGCAAGTAAAATTCAGCAATATGTAAATAGAATTCTACACCATGCAAATGGGACTTATTCCAGGGATGCAGTGTTGGCTCAGTATTTGAAATTTCAATCAATCTAATCCACCAAATTAACTGGCTAAAGAAGAAAAATCACATAATCATATCATTTGATGCAGAAAAAAGCATCTGACAAAATTCAATATCCATTCGTGATAAAAACTCTCCGAAAAGTAGGAATAGAAGTTAACTTCCTAAACTTAATAAAGACAACCTGTGAAAAACCTATAGCTAACATAAGACTTAATGATTAAGGACTGAATGCTTGGGGTGCCTGGGCAGCTCAGTTGGTTGAGCATCCAGCTCTTGATTTTGGCTTGGGTCATGATCTCACAGGTTGTGGGTTTGGGCCCTACATCAGGCTCTGTACTGACAAGCTCAGAGCCTGCTTGGGATTCTCTCTCTCCCTCTTTATCTGCCTCTCCCTGCTCGTGTGCTCTCTCTCAAAAACAAACAAACATTAAAAAAAATATTGACTGCTTTCTCCCTACAACTGGAAACAAAGCAAGGATGTCCACTGTTATCATTACTGTTCAACAAAGAGAACTCTAGCCTGCACTATAAACAAATGAAATGAAATAGAAATATAGATATATTTCATATAGATCAAAAAGGAAAAAATAAAACTGTCCCTATATGCAGATGACATGATGGTCTATGTAAAAAATAGCAAAGAATTTACAAACACACACACACACACACACACACACACACACACACACACACACACCAACAAACTCCTGGGGGGCACCTGGGTGGTTAAGTCAGTTGAGCATCCGACTCTTGGTTTATGCTCAGGTCCTGACCTGGGGTTGTGGGATCAAGCCCCACATCAGGCTCCATGCAGAGCATGGAGCCTGCTTAAGGTTCTCTTTCTCTTTCCCTTTGCCCCTCTCCCCTGTTTGTGCTTTCTCTCTTAAAAAAAAAAAATCTCCTAGTACAAGTGAGTTCAGCAAGAATACAAGATACAAGACCAATATAAAAAAAACTTATTTTTTCTATATACTAGCAATGCACATATGTACATGATGCAAAAATTTTAAATACATAGGCATAAATCTAAGAAAACATATACAGGATTTGTACGGTGAAAACCACAAAATGCTAATGAAAGAAATCAAAGATCTAAGTGAGTGGAGAGACATACCATGTTCATGGATTGGAACACCCACATAGTAATATATCAATTTTCCCCTAATTGATATACATATTTAATGCAGTTTGTATCTCAGCAAATATCATTTGTAGATAGAGGCAAGCTTATTGTCAAAGTTTTTGTGAAATGACAAAGCTAAAATAATTTTGACAAAGATGAATAAAGTGGGAGTGATCAGTCTACCTGATTTCAAGACTTACTACATTGCTACAGTAATCAAGACTTTGTGGTATGAATGGAGGGATAGACACAAAAATCAGTGGAACAGAATAAAGATCCAGAAATATCCCCACACAAGTATGGTAAGCTAATTTTTGACAAAGGTGCAAAAACGCAAGTGAATGGAGGGAAGATAGTCTTTTTTAACAAATAGTATTGGAGCAACTGGATATCCATAGGCAAAAAATAAACCTTAGCTTAAATCTCAAATCTTATACAAAAAAAATCAACTCAAAATGGAACATACGTTGAATGGCCACATTTGACCACTGACCATTCTCTTCTTCTTGAAGCTCCCTTCCCTTAGCATTAAATGTGGCCATACAGTGGAGAGGGACAGGGACCGTAAGGAGATCTTGACAGTTTGGGAAGTGAGCAAGACTTTGATAAATGGTGGTCGAGGCAACTTTGTGGGAACCTGTCAACTCTTTGTGAATAAAAGAAGCCATAAAATGGGCTGAGGAATATGGCTGAGGTAAGGTACCAATTTAGGACAGAGAGGACCAAAGATTTTTCAAGCAGCTAGGAAAGAGTCAAAGGACAGATTAAAGTTCTAAGAGAACAAGGGATTATTTGTGATGTAAGGTCTTGCAGCATGGAAGAATGATGGCCATCATCAATGAAAGCTGTGTCCCTGTCTACTTGCATACTTTATTTGATTTGATCCTTCCAACAAACCTGTGAGGAAGCTATTATCATGCCATCTACCAAAGAGGAAACAGACTCAAGAGAGGTTAAGTTCAAGGCTTGTAGGAAGGAGATATGTGAAGAGGTGAGAATATACAGCTGTTCTCTCTGAACACCTGGAGGCAGGAGCTCCTGGGAGCATCAAGAAGAGGCTGTGAGCAGACTGGGGGAGATTTGGAGGAGCCACTTTGGGTCCAGAGGCGTGAAGGGGGAGGTACATAGGGGAAGAGGTCAATGCTCAGATAGCTGCAGTCATGGTGAGTGAATCAGAATTCCGTCCAGGGAGCACACTTTGGTTGGATCTGCAACTCTCCTGACCCTTAGGTATCTGAACAGAAATGATTTTCATTTAGACTTAGAAAATATAGGACAAAGTCTGACCAGGGGGAGGGAGACCCCACCATTGCAGGGTCTCCCCAGGCTCAAATGAAGCCCACCTTTCTACTTGATAAACTTTTTGTTCTTCAAGAACCAATTCAATTGTCCCCCTTTCTGAGAAGCCTTCCAGACTCCCTGCCCCTTCAGAGACTTCATGGTGCTGGAGTCTATCTGTATCTGTGAACTAAGGTCCTTGAAGTCAAAAGCATTATCAGTGATCTTTATTTCTGCTCCCTCTTCATCCCCAGCCTCCAGTATAGGATACTCAAAACCAGTGAACAAACGAATGAATGGCCTCATCCACTTGTTGCACCCAACATGATCAAGTGGTTTAAAGCAGCAAGTGGTAGGCTGTTCCATCCATATTTGTTTCTGGGATATCTGACAACTCTACGCTCAGGATAATACTCAGCTTTCGTCCCTTTTCCAATAAAGCAAAATCCTATGGACAGAGCAGAGGCAGCAACAGATTTCCTCTTATTCTTGTCATTTCATTTGCCTGCCACCAGGTTAAGTTATGGGGAGGCTGTGTCCCAGGATGTAAAGGCCTTAGAACCTGTTGAAGGAATACCTCTTGAAAGGAGATAAGTCAGCTATCTGGAGATCCTAGCCTGCTCTCCTGGACACACTTGGTTAAGCAGTTTGTTTTTGTCAAGATGACCAGGTTGGAGTGCCTGGAATCTCAACACCAAGAAAGTTTACTGTGCCTATATTCACAGTGTCAATCACCAGGCTCTCCTGCTGTTAGGAGAGGCTGGCCCTTTGGGGGGCTGCCGCTGGTAAACAACACAGATGGTGGGAGTGAACAGCAACAGCTGTTTCCCAGGATCATCTGC